CCAGAGGTATGTTCTGCTTTCCCATAAGAATCAAAATTTCAAATAAAGATTTTAGGTATTCTTTGTTTTCCTTTTCTTCAAGAGTTAAAGGCAAAATGTCTTCATCCTGTTCTTCACCACCTTCTTTTGCACTGAGGTTCTGAACATTGCTGTTGTTTGTTTCTTTATGTGTTTGCTGTTGTTCAGAAGTTTCATCAACTGGAAAACAAAAAATTAAGTTAAAAATAAGCTCATGAGCTATCATTCAAAATAAAATACACATTTTTGATTGATTAAATATATGAAACCCACAAACTCATTCATTTAGTAGTTCCTGGGTACCTAACTAATCCAGAGACTGGGATATAGAGATTAAAGATTAAATAAAGACAGCACTATTTTCAACCAACACAATCCTAAATAATAAAACCCAGGTGCAGGTGCTCCTTTACTGCTCACTGAACTACTAGACCAGTGATTCTCCAAGAGTGGTCTCCAGACCAGCAGCATCAGTGCCACCTGGCAGATTCTTGTGCCACTCAAAACTTCCTAAATCAGAAACTCTGAGAGTGAGCCTTCTAATAGGTAGCAAAAGCAATCCCTCAAGGGATTCTGATGAGCTGATATTTAAGAACTACTGGAAGAATGTTTCAATTGACTGCTCTGAATTTAAGTTTTCTATTTCTTTAAATAGTATATTCTAAAACATTCTTTCATGCACACACACCCCGGAGTAGTACAGAGGCAGATACTATACATGTTACAAGATAGAAATAGCTTCTTTTGATTTAACAAGATAATTCATCAATTACACAGAATAACTGCAAACAGTTCATGCCCTCAGAAAAGTCTTTATCATATACAGTACATAATTACACAGGCATACCTTGGAGATATTTGGATCCAGACACCTCAGTAAAGTGACTATCATAATAAAATAAGTCACAAGGACTCTTTAATTTTCCAGGATATATAAATGTTGTATTTACACCACAATCAACACACTCTTGATACCAACACCCAGAAAATAAAAAAAAAATAATAATTGCATTGAGAAAATCTGCTGTCAAGGACCTCTCCAGAGTACTGAAAAACAATGATGTCAGTCGAGAGACTAAGATGGGACGACCTAGGCCACAGTCTTCACAATTACTTGCTATGCATCAGAGAGCTCAACAATGTCTAAAGATAATAGAAGAAATGATGTCTTTGAGTTATGGTGCTGGAGGAGTATTGAATATATCATGGACTGCCAGGAGAACAAATGGTTCATCCTAGAGATGGTGAAACCAAGCTGCTCCTTGAAGGCAAGGGTTCTGATGCTCTGTCTGACAGTTTGGGCATGCTGCAATGAGGGACCAGTCCTTGGAGAGGGACATCTTGCTTGGAAGGGTGGAGGGACAGTGCAAGAGAGGATGACCCTGGATGAGATGAAATGAATCAGTGATGGGGGTAATGAGGCTGGCTCTGGACAGAGCTGGGTTCAGAACTGTTGTACTACATAGGGTTGCTATGAGTCACAAGCAACTTGATGGCAAAAAACAACAACGTCTATTAAGGAAGCTATCTGCTGGCCTACTGGCAAAAATCTTGCTGCAATCTTGAAAGCACATGGTTCATATCCTCCAGCTGCTCCATGGGAAAAGGATGGGCAACCTCTTCCTGTGCGATTAACTGCCTCTGAAAACCCGCTGGAAGCTCAGCTATGAGTTGGCTCTGACTTGATGGTACACAACAACAACATCATAGTCTACTGAGGGAGACCTGGTGAGCTTTCCTTAATAAATTGTGCTGCTAGTCTAAAGGCATCTCTGGTGGTTCAGATCCACCAGAAACCCTTAAGGGAAAGCTAGGTAGTCTCCTTCCATTCAGATTTACAGCCTCAGCAATCCAAAGGAGCACTTGTATTCATATAGTCATGGACCTGGAAGCAGTTTTCAACGTGGGGAGATTTTGCTCCCCAGAAGACATCTGTGTTTTTTTAAATTGTCACAACTGATCACAGGGAAGTGCCTCTGGCATCTGCTGGCCTGGAATGCTGCCAAGGAGCCTAGAGGGCAAAATTATAACTGCCATCACAGAAGATTATCCAGTCCAGTGATGGTTCTGGGAGCTCTGAAATAAAGTTTTCTTTGACTAAAGGGTCTGGCTAATAAAATAAAAACAATTAGGGGGGCTGTGGCAGAAAAATAATGGAAGAAAAGTTTTAGACATCTTGTGTAGGCCTCAAAAGTCCAGGTGAAAAAAATCTATACATTGTGAAGACTATACATAGCTTGCCAAAGATTACATGAACTCTTACAGAGCATTTAAGGATGAGTTTGACATGGTGAACACACAGCCAGCAAAAGCTTTATTCTAGTTTGCAAGGAGAGTGCCAAAGAATAGACTCAGCTCCAGTTAGGTGTGAGCTGTCTATCATGAGCATACAGATTTTAACAACCCAGAAGGTGGGCTATCTTGGTTCCTTCTTTCTCTCTTCCTCCTATCTTCACTTTCTCCCTCTCACCATTATTGCTCCACTTTCAACAATCTGATGGTATTATTTTTCAAAAGAATGCTAATTTCAGAGAAGCCAAAGAATAAAAGGTGAAATGTAAGTTCCTCTCCTGTGTATCCTTCCTTACATGAGACCTACAGGTATACAAACGTCTTGAGTTCTTGAATCCATCATGTCATGTTTACTCTTGTCATTGTCTTACTTTTAACTCTTGGTTGGTATTTAGTCAACCTGGCCTCCCTGCCTCCAATGTAGTTTCTGTAACATGAAAATTCTGTCCATGTCATTATTTACTAACAAATCCCTAAATGGTTCTCTATTGCCATTAGCTCACAATCTTGCAAGTGGTGGTCTCTATAGACCCCTTCAGGCTCATGTTCTAACTATCATGGGTTATCAGAAGCTCCAAAGCACCAAAATTATTGCAATTCCCTAAAAGGGAAAAATAGTACTTAACTCAAGGCTACTTCAAGAATTAAGTAAATTTATGAAAGTAAAAAACTTAAAATGACACAAGAGGAAACATTCATAAAAGGTTATGTTATTCGTAATAATGGTAATAATGGTAGCAGTAGGGGGAAGATGAGGAATATAATAACTGATAAGAACAAAAAGAGCTTCTTTTAACTCTAATCCATTAGAGATATAACTCAGGCAATAGCACCTGCAAAATGTGCTAAGTACCCCAATGCACTTATTCTCTAAATATTTAGAGACTTTATTATGCACCACAAATTAGGTGGCTAGAGAGTCTGTTCAGGTGCTTAATGTTGCCATTCGTTCTTTTACACTGGGACAGTGTGTGTACCTGCGACACTGAAATCATCTGAGGGAGAAAGTGAGGCATTACCTTTATGAGGCCTGGACATGGCAAAGCATATGACACAATGGCATTCAATAAAGATAAGTGAACTGAGGTGTTAATAATACAGATAATTCTAAATCACAGGACATCATCTACCACAACCACACATCATTCTCAAGTTGTATTTTGGACATAAAACACATTTATTTGTCCTTACCAGAGCAAGGCCTTTAAAAAAGGCATTCAGAAGTTGAGCCATTAACACTATCACTTACTTTTTTTCTGTTTCAGTGTCCTGATTTCATCTTCACTCTAAATGACAAGAAAACAAAACAACAAACCATCTTTAAGAAAACTGTCCTTTCAGATAGTAGGCTTGTAAGTAAAAAGCATATTCTGAGACAAAATTTTTCTACCACCATAAATTCTTGACATGCAATATCTTTTTTACAACAGACATATGGCAGGAAAGTCTAAACAATAATTTGTTAATGACTCTAAGCTTAAAATAAAGTTCTTGGTTAGAAAAAAAATAACACAGCAGTTCACTTTATTTTTACCTAAATCATAACTGCAGGCTTTACTGGCTAAAGAAAATATACCACAGCATAGGGAACTAATTCAAAAGGTCACAAACCATCCATTTACCCTATATAATGCATAAAAAACTGTTAGATCCCTAAACCTAACACAAATGCTTTGAGAAATCAGATAGTATATATTTTATAGTATACATTTTTTTCTTAAAAAGCAAAAAGTAGGACGAGGAGCTATCCAACTAATTAGAATAGACCAGTAATCTCATAATTAGGTCAATCCACTAGAAGTTATAAATGTCAAATTCTAAATAAAATAAGCAAGAATTCTCTCATACTGCTGTCAAGTTGGGTCTGATTTACAGCTGACTCTCCAATGGGTTTCAAAGACTGTAAACTGGAAAAAGATTGCTCATCTTTCTCTCTGAGCAGCTGGTGGATTCGAAGTGCCAGAAAAGTGTAAACCTTTGAGTTAACTGCACAAAGGTCTAAGGACTGTATCACTAGCGCTCCCTATGTAACAACAATATATAAAAAATAAACTGGTATCTTGCAGTTAGCATTCATAAGAATAAAGACATGGTTCTCTATTAGATAATTCATCACTGTAATTCACTAAAGAATGAAAAACCTGAACTCTCCTATTAGTAGATACAATAAAGTGTTCCATAAGTTTAAAAAGTTATGATAAAATCAGAATACTAGATAGAATGAGGAAGGAATTTCCTTGACTTCATTAAAGTTATCTAGCAATATCAATAGCAAGAGAATAAACAAACATGACAGCTGTGATGAAAACTCATTAGAATAATAAAAAAGGTTTTTCAAAACTGCTGAGAATATTTTCCCTTTACGCTGAATTTTGGAAGCATAATTTAAACTGCATTTTCCTGATCTCAGGAGGAAAAGTAGCATTTCTTTCTTCCCAAAAAGAAAATTAATTGTTGTTGTTGTTGTATACTATCGAGTCCAAATCAACACCAGTGGGTTTTCAGAAGCTGTAAATAGCATGCAAAGAAATTGTCCATCTTTTTCCCATAGAGCAGCTGGTGGATTTGAATCGCATGTCTTTGAACTGGCAGCTCAACTCTTTACCATTAAGCCACCAGAGCCTCCTCAAGAATGAATTAGTGGCCTATAATTAATAGCACTCTTGGGCCCAAGTAAATCTGAGGGAAATATTTCCATTTAAATACTAAAACAAACTAATCACTTATATTCAGGCTACATTAACAATAACTGAGGCATTCATTTCCCAAACACTACCTTTAAAATAGAGAATAATTTGGATCAATTTTAATGTAAATGTATGCATAATATTGTAGGGTAGGGATGAGCTGAAAGCAGACGGACATACCAATTCTTTTATTCGTTTTCTGTGTCTACTATGTGGATTGTTCAGATGACTGGTAAGATCAAATATTGTTGGTATAGCATTATCTCGAAGAACTGTCCGATAAGGACTCTGAAAAAGAAAAGTGTTAATAAATAAGAGATGGTTCCTAAGACTACATTCCACAGAACTCGAGTACTATGTTATTGAATTCCCCTATCACTATTTCAACCCTACCTTTAATGTAGATATCTGCAGGAATTGATGTCAGTTTATAACAGCCTATTATTTCAAACATTTTAAAAAACTTGTTCTTCTAGAAATTTATTACTACAAATTAAGGAACTGAATTAATGGCAGATGTGAAAAACAAAATGCATTTGTATTCTGCATATCTATTTTTAATTCAGCCATCTAGCTATTTTACTGTCCTTCCTGGATCCATCAAATCTACCAGCAATTAGAAAAACCTCCCAAATGATCTACCCTGTTGTATATTCTATAGTAACGATTCCTTTTTCTACTGCTCATTTTGCTTTTGCTAATATTACTGAGATCAAGGCACAATAAAAGAATACTGGTTTAGGATTCAGAATGCTTAGAACTAGTTCAAAATCTACCAGTAACTCATTATTAGACCTTGGCCAACTCTTTCCCTTTTTGAACCTCAGTGTCACAGTCTGAGTAACATCCAGATATTGAACTAGATCATCATCTCACAAAATTAAATTATTCATCTAAAGGTCATAATGGTTGCCTTTTCAGTTATACTATCTGTACTTTTACATAACCTCTTTTTTCAGTTAACACTGACTTAAGCAATGTTAATGGATGGGTTAGTTATATTTTTAACACATATTCTAGAACTTCTAAAGTGAAAATTGATTTGTGTGTCATCTGAAACCATCTTTTATCAAAACCAATATACTGAAACACATTTTTGCAAATACTAAAAGAAATAATTCTAAATTTTCTTCCAATTAAAATATCTTATATTTGAAGAATGATCTTACTAAACTGCCTAGAGGCTGGATGCACTCTTAGTTGGTGACAGTTATTTTACAGCCAATCCAAAAGAGGCCAAGGAGGGGCAAGAAGTGAATTAAGAACGAAACAACTAGATAACAACTACTACACCTGCTTTATCTAGTTCAAAGAAGCAGTCTCTTTTTCCTGAACTTCCCATGATTAAAGACAGCCTTTAACTCAAAGACAGTTTCTTGGGAAGCAGTGATTGTTTCAAGACTGACTAATAAATTAAGTTCAGAGACTACATAAATAAGAATAGTGACTTAAATTTTTTCACTCTAGGCAGGGAAGTTTAGAGTATTGCTTGTTCCCATCCAGTCCAGTGCATGTTGTGGAAACTCCACTTGTGTAGGGTAGAACTGCTCCAAAGCCTTTCGAGACTGACCTTTTGGAATTAGACAGATCTGTATTCTAAGGTGTCTGTGGAGGAGTTGAAACTGGCAACCTTTTGACTAGTTACCAAGTGTACAGCAACATGCACCACTCCAACTATCTATATAAAACACATTATCTTTAAACTTTATTACTGAATAATTATTTGCCATATATACCCTTTCTTGGATTTTACCCCAAAGAGCTGTTAAACACATTTAGAAAAAAAAATTCTAATTGGATTAAATATTTTCTAGTTTAATACCACGCTTCATATAATATTAAAAAGAAAAATCTCATTTCTTAATGACATTCAGCTACTAGATACGGACCAATGATTCTGAGTCTACTGGTAAGTTTTAGTCAGGGATTGATGAAAAGACATGCTCACTAAAAGGAGAAAAAACTTTCACACACAAAGCTTCCCCTTTTTTCCACTACACAAATGTCCCAAAAGTAAGCAAACATATGCACAGTTAACACCTGAAATTCTGTCAGTTATAGCCAGATACTGCTTAACATCAACAATGCAATCTATGAAAAAAGGAAATCATGTGATTTGGATTTTGTGCAAACACCATATTATACATAGGCATAATTGTATTATAAATTAAAAGTTCCATTTTCAAGTCTGTCTTTAAAGTGGAATTTGTATTGAAGATGGAAAAGTTAGATTCAACTGGTCTAATAATGTCAATCAAAATTCTGTCTTAGCATGTATGTACTAAAGATACAGTTTACCATTCTATGCATAAAGAAACACATTTGGATATAGCAAAACATTTTTAATAATATTTTTTATGCATGCCTTAAAGTGGAGCCAATTTCTTACTACATGCCATTGTATTTACTTCCAAATTCTTAATATAATAGGCTTTTCGGGAGTTGAGACCACAGACATAAACAGTCGAACAATGTAGCACAAGATTTTATTAAAAAGGAGGGGAAGAATAAAAGAATGAATTCTAAAAAAATGCAAATAAAATTAATTAGCTACTTGCAAATATGCCACAATCACCATTTATCTATCAGTCTGGAAAACATATAAGTAAAATGCATTAAATTTTTAAAAAATATTAGTATATATACAAAAAAGGCTATTTTCAATTGAATAGCCATGAATAATTTTAACTTAGTATCAAGACTTAAATCATTAAATGTTGAATCATGTTTGAGGATATAGCTCAAAGTAATCTTACTCTACCACCAAAAAGAAGAAAATACTTGGCTTTGGCTTAACTAGTCATATCTACTGATCTTAAACCTGAAACTAAATGAAAACATTTTTAAATATCTGAATATTAACTATCAAGTAAAGTCAGCATTTTTAATAGTAGTGCCTTATTCTGCATGTGTAGGAAGAAAATTTTCTCATACTTGGATTTATTTATTCAAGACTGAAGAATCATTTGATAATTCAAAAAAAATTGCTCATTTTTCTCTTCTAGTTTCTGACTAAAGTATATTAAAGTGAAATATACTTTAAATTTCTCACATTAATCTGGTTAAAATGATCTAATGAGGAGACCATATTTACTAGCAAGATACAAAATGTAAAAATGTGTATGGTTTGCATATTTAAAATAATAATTTGGGATATTCTTACTTAGTGACAAGAACATAAAAAGTATGCCTTTTGAATACATGAAAACTCTTTATTTTAGTTGATTGTTATTCCCTTTTAATAAAACAAGGCAAAAATATTCCTCAAATATTCGTGATTAAATTGTTGAACCGGAACTGGCTCACCTCCCAGTGACTTCGCAAGTATCTGCTTCAATTAATTTTGAGAAATAAAATAACCCAATCATTCTTTAGATTTCTGATGCCTCTGCAAAATGTATCTGAAAAAAATATCAAAATAAATTGCTGCATAACATATATAGTGTACTTTCTACAAATCAAGCTTATATCTATCCCAGTATCTGAGATGATACTTTGCTGATATTAAGTGTCATTGAATCGACCATGACTCAACCTATGAACAATGGATCTGACCTATCCTGTGCTATCCACTTCAACTCTGACACCAGCCCATACAGTCACTGTGTGGAGCCATATCAAACATAAATATAGTTTGTCTCATAAAACTAACTTCTCAGTTATTAAAGTGTTACAAATGTGTTTCATTCTATCAAATATGCCCTATTTGTATCTTGTATGACTCATAGTAATAACAGAATCAAAATTTAAAAAAAGAAAATCACAAAGCACCTCATAATTATCTATGTCTTCGAAACTGGGACGCAAAGAGAGGACAAGTGAACTGGCCAAGTTCACAGTTACCAGCAGTCAGTGTAAGAGATCTATGTTCTGAAGTAAACTTTTAAGTTACAGATGGAAATTTCCCTCTAATATTACCTTTATGAACTGTTCCCTGCTGTAGTATCTACACATAAAAATTAAGAGTTGGTCCTAATATTACTATTTTTAAAAAAAATTAAAAAACTAAAAGATGTTCATTTTTAAACAAAGATTTCACTCATAAAAAAGCTCTAGAAAAAATCCTCCAAATAAGAACATCAAATTTCTGTTAAACACAAACTTTTATAATCACCTAAAATTTTCTGAAAACTACACAAGAAATTTTAAAAACTGGTTACTTCTGGTGAATAGAAATGGAATATTAGGAACAAACAAGTTAAAAAAAACCAAGCTTTTAAGCGCAAAATAGATATTCAGTTCAAATTTATCTTCCTCTTTTTAAAGAAAACATATAGTGGAATACGGGACTAACTTCCAACATTGACAGATAAACATTTACATTTCCAACTGAATTCCAAGTGTGAAAGTGAGGAGATAGGAAAAAGCACACACAACGTTCCGTTACTTACAGTTCTACAGATCATAGAGGTCTCAAAGTGTTTGGCACATAACCGATAATGTTTATTAAGCTGATCGGGTGTTTTATCTTCTAAGTCAGCTCTCCTACAATTCTCCACCCACTTCTGGCATCTATAAACAAAAATCACAATATAATCATGGGATATTTAAGCTTAGTAATTAAATTTCAGCATTTAGTGTAAAGGCAAACATCTACCACCAACACAGGGTCTCTGGCCCCTGAACCCCAAGAACATAGCACAATTTAGAGAAGCTGATTAAAAGCAAAGTGAGAAATGGATGATACCTTAGAAACCATTTAGTACATTTAATTACAGACAAAGGTTAGAAGTTACCTGTTCAGAGTGGTTCAACATTCTCCTCAAAACTTCTAATAAAAAAAACCAAATGGGACAATACTACTAGAGCAGCCTCAGGAACCTCATGGAGCACTGCTATGAGTCAGAAACGACTCAAAAGTAGTGAGTTTCCAAAGGTATCTGAAAATCAGACAATGAATAAGTCTAAAGCAGTATTGATGCCTTTGAACCAAGGTGCTGCTGAAGAATATTGAATAGAAAAAAATACAGACGTTAGTTGGTCTTAGAAGGCAACCAGAGCGCTCTTTAGAAGCAAAAACCATGAGATGTTGTCACACATACTTGGGCATGTTATAAAAAAGGGCCAGTACTTTCAAGGGCCAGGACATCATTCTTGGAAAAGTGGAAGATCAGTGATAACAAGGAAGACCTGCAAGGAGGTGGACTGGCACAGTGACTGCAGCAAAGTGCTTGCATGCAGGAGGTTGTGAGGATGGTGCAAGATGAAGCAGTTTTCTTCTACTGTACATAAGGTCACTGTGAGTCAGATCCAACTTGACAGCACCTACCTACAAGAAGCAGCACTTACTATGAGCCAGACTCTAAGTCCATTCTATACTGCTGTTAGGTATTATGGTTGATGAGTCCCATCCAGTCAATTCTGACTCACTGTCAAATGCTTATGAAACAACTGAAAATACCATGACTCAGGTCAGGCAACTCAAAAAGAGGTTCTTGACAGCAGATTTGCCTAATCCAATGTCTTTTAATTTCTAGACTGTTTCCATGGGTATTGATTAAAGATCCAAGTAAAATGAAGTAAGTGACAACTTCAATCTTGACCCATTTACCATGATGTTGCTTACTGATGCAGTTTTGAGAATTCTATTTTATATAATGGTGTGATTAACACTGAAGACTATGTAGGCTTTAAGATTCATCACTTGGTGTGTTTTAAGTCCTTCTGAAGCATTCTTGTCTGCTTATCCCAGCCTGTTAGTGTATTAGTCCTCATACAATCTTGATGGCTCATTTCCCTGCCATAGTCCAGCTTTTCATATTACACTAAAATTTCAATAGATATGGTGGCATCCACATCCTAAACAACATATTCTGAAAAGTTTATGAACTTGGATAAATGACGATAGTTACAGAAAGGCTTCAGATCTTGAGTCATCCCTGACTAGACAATCAACAACAACATAGTGAAAGAACACAACTCTGAAGCACACCTTTCCTAATCTTAAACCATGCAGTATTGGCTTATTCTATTCAAATGACTGCTTTTTATTCTATGCACAGGTTCCAAATGGTGACGATTAAATACTGTGCAATTCTTAGTCTTTGCAATGTTATCCACAACCTGTTATGATCCATATGACTATGCCTTTACATAGTCAATAAAACACAAGTATATATTTTTCTAGTACTTTCTGCTTTTGTTTAAGATCTATCCAACATCATCAATGGTATTTCTAGTTGTGTTGCCTCTTCTGAATCCAGCTTAATATCTAGCAATTCTCTACTGATCTTCTGTTCCAGCTCGGAACATTATTTCCAGCAAGATTTTACTAGTGTTTTGATAATGATATAATTTGATAATTCCTGCACTTTGCTGGGCCACCTTTCTTTGGTACAAGCACAAGAATGGATCTCGTCCAGTAGGTTAGTCAGTAAACTCTTCCAAATTTCTTCAGAGAGACAAGGAGCACTTCTAGCACTATATCTGTTTGCTGTAACATCTCAAATGGCATCCTGCCAATTTCTGAAGTGTTGCCTTCAGTTCCGTTTTTACTTCCTTCAATACCATTAGCTCTTGATCATATGCTACCTTCTGAAAGAACTGGGCATCAGTCAATTCTTTTTGATACAGTGACTCTGTGTATTCCTTCCATTCTTTTGGTGTTTCCAGAATCATTCAGTATTTCCCCCACAGAATGCTTCAGTATTACAACTCAAGACTTGAATTTGCAGTTTGAGAAATGCTAAACATGCTCTTCCCTTTTGTTTTCTAACTTCAGGACTTTACACATTTCATTATAATAAATTGCTTTGTCATCTTTTAAAATCTTCTGTTTTGGTCTCTTAAATAATTTCTTCCTTTCTTAATAACTTCTCTACAATCTACAGCAAGTTTCAAAGACTCTTCTGATATCCATTTTGGTCTTTTTTGTCTTTTGCCTTCATCATGTATGTCATCTCACAACTTATCTGGTCTTCAGTCATAAAGTGTTCAAGGCGTCAAATCTTTTCTTGAGATGATCTTGAAATTCAGGTGGGATGTAATCAAGGTCCTATTTTGGCATTTTGATCTGTTCCACTCCTGGCCCTTGCCTTGTTCTAGTTAAGATACTGAACTTTCCCACTGTCTCTTTTCATAGATGTAGTTAACTTGATTCCTATGCAATTTGCAATGAATAAGTTAAACAAAATTCTATCATGCAATCTCCAGCCTGGTTTCTCCCACAAGGCTCTATTTTCCAACCATTAGTCTGTCTTCCTTTGTTTCCAAACTTCTGAATTCCAGTCACCAGTTATTACTAATACATCTTGATTACATATTCGATCAAATTCACACTGTTAAAGTTGGCAGAAATCCTCAATTTCTACATCTCTGGCTTTAGTTGGTGCATAAACTTAAATAATACTGTCTTAACAATTCTTCATTGCATGTGCATAGACATTACCGTGTCACAGCAGTGTACTTCAGGATAGATCGTAAAATGTTCTTTTTAGCGATGATTGTCATACCATTCCTCTTCAATTTTCCATTCCTGGCATAGGAGACCGTCTGACTGTCCAATTGAAAATGGCCAACGCCAGTGCATTTCAGCTCACTAATATGCCTAGGATATAAATCCTTATATGTTCCATTTCATTTTGACAACTCCTAATTTTCCAAGTTTCATACTTCATATATTCCACATTTCAATCATAAATGAATGTTGGCAGCTGTTTGTTTCCCTTTATTTGGAGTTGTGCTGCATCAGTAAACAATGTTCCTTCATTGGCCTGAAGCTTTACTCTAGCCATATCATTAAGGTGGATTCTGCTGTAAGGAGGTAGTTCTTTCTAGTCTTAACAATGTTCCAACCTGAAGGCTTCATTTTCTAACACTATGTCAGACACCACTGAGCAGCTATTCATAAGGTTTTCAAGGTTCCATTATTTTAAAAGTGGATGGCCAAGCCTGCTTAGTCTACTTTCTCCACCAAAATTTCTTCACCATGGATGAGTCTACTAGTATTTGAAATACTGGTGGCATAAACTTCTAGCATCACAGCAAACCACAAGCCACCATGGTGTGAGAAATTGACAAGAACGGGGGCCATTAGCAATGTTGTTGTTGTTATGTGCCGTCAAGTCACTTGCGACTCATAGCGACCCTATGTACAACAGCCCTAAACTCCGCTCTGTCCTGTGCCAATCGCACTGTCTCTGACACTCCCATCCCAATTATCCCAGTCACTGAATCAATCCACCTCATAGAGGGCCTTCCCCTCCTGCGCTGTCCCTCCACCCTCCCAAGCATGATGCCCTTCTCCAAGGACCTGTCTCTCCTCACAACATGTCTAAAGTATGTTAGACGGAGCCTCAGAATCCTTGCCTCCAAGGAGCCACCCGGTTTAACCCTTTCCAGGACAAATCTGTTTGTTTTCCTAGCAGTCCACGGTATTCTCAATACTCTTCTCCAGCACCACAGCTCAAAGGCATCAATTCTCCTTCTATCCTCCTTGGTTATTGTCCAACTCTCTGATGCATAACAAGGGATTGCGAAGAGCACAGGGAAGGCAAAATGTGGTGTGTTTATTTGAGAGAATACTACTCAGCATCGGAAATGAGTGAATTCTCAAAAACAACGGTGAGCTATAGAAGTCAGAAACACATATCACGTGATTTCTTTTTATGTTAAGTTTAAGAACAGGAAAAACTTAACTATACTGATTGTGTAGAAAACTGTTAGCACGGTAGAATCTCCTTAAGAGAGATTTGCTTGCAATATTCACCCTTGGGTGGCATCTGAGACTTTGACCATTAAACAGTTCCCTGTTTTGTGTGCCGTCGAGTTGGAACCAACCCACAGCTGACCCTCAGTAGGTTTTCAAAGGAGATGACCGCCCTTCCTTCTCTCACAAAGAAGCTGGTGGATTTGAGCCATGTGCATTTAGGAGTACACTGCAGCTTGTTACCACTAGGCCACGAGAACTCATCAATAACTTCATTATGCAGATGACACAACCTTGCTTGCCAAAAATGAGGAAGACTTGAAATGCTTGTTTTAGAAAATCAAGGACTGCGTTCTTCAATATAGATTGCATCTTAACAAAATTTTTACAATTGGGCCAAGAGTCAACATCATGACAGATAGCGAAAAACAGAAACTGTCAAGTACTTCATCTTACTTAGATCTACAATCAATACACTTGGTACTTCAAGAGATATATTGCTATGAGCAAGTCTGCAGACAGGGACCTCTCCAAATCATTGAGGAACAATGACGTTAGTTTGAGGACTAAGGTGCACCTGATTCAAGCCATGAGTTTTTCAATCACTTGCTATGCATCTGAGAGCTAGACAATGAATAGAGATGACAGAAAAAGAACTGATGCCTTTGAACTGTGGTGCTGGAGAAGAGTACTGTATATCCCATGGACTGTCAAAAGAACAAACAAATATGTCTTGGAGAAAGTGTAGACAGAGTGCTCCTTGGAGGCAAAGATGATAAGTTTCGTCTCATATACTTTGGGCATGCTGCTAAGACAGACTATGGCTTGGAGAAGTGATCATGATTGGAAAGGTGGAAGGATGGCA